AAAAAAAAAAAAAAAAAAAAAAAAAAATATATTAAAAAAATAATACATTAATATTTCTTTAACTTGCAGGTGATTTTCACCATACCAGCATTAGCAAATATTAATGGGCGACATTTTTAATTCTGCCCAAAACTCTACCCTAATTCTGGTAAGGTGACAATTACCGGTGGTGATATTTAGCAATACTCTTAAAATGTTGAATTTAAATTAATCTAAATTTAAAGATAATGGAAAACAGAAAAAAGCTTTTTCTATTCATAATAAATAAAATGAAAAAAAGATATTAATGTTTCTTTTTTCTATTTTTTTTTATTTCACAAATATTTAATTGTTTAAAATACTTTTTTTTTTTAGCTTTTTAAAATGTTGGACTTTTGAAGTTTTTATGTTCCTTCTTTTTATTTTTTTAAATGCAACTTTGAGTATATACAGTAATATTACTCGAAAAATATTTTTAAGATTAAGCTAAGTTGTGAAGTGAATAAATTTAGAAGTGAAAATATATTTAATAAATAAAATTTTCATTAAGAAGCAGTCATATAATTATATTAGTACAAAAAATGAATTATTTACATTTTGGTTACAGACATTTCACTGAAAGTCATTTCGCCAAAAGGATATTTCGCTGAAAAATAAGGCCAACATTACTATGCAACATTATAAATAATTCAAGCCAGATTATTTTTGTGCGGAGTTTTAAAAAATTTGTGCGCACATTGAATTTCAAACACTCCGTCCTACCTGGATATAACGGACTTAAAATAATGAAACATCGTACTATAACATTTCTTCCTTTGAAAATTCGGTTAAAATATTGTCCAAATTATAGATTATCGTAATTTTTTGATGAACTAGTTAATAAAAACAAATATACATTTAAACTTTTTAACTATTGTGATTATATTTGTGATTAATCCAATAATCGTCTGGTAATCATCCGGTAATCATCCGGTAATCCGGTAATTTATTTCATCCAAATATACATATTATTTTCAATGAATATTTCTTTTTTGATTATATTTATTCCAATTAGAAATTAAAACATTCGAATGAGAATACAAAAACAGAACGACATTTTGAAGTAATTGGTGCAGTATCTATAACAAGAATATCATTTATACCGTTTGTTTCAAATCATTCCATAAACATACTCATCATATTTTCGCAGCTATCTAGTTATTCAGCCTGTTTGATTAGGTGAAAATCCTCCAAATACGAATTATGTATTTACTATTCGCACCACATTTAACAGATGCAACAAACATGTGGTGGAACAATAACAAGTACCAGTGATTCCCAGTTCCCACGCTAAAGGACTAATACGTTCTTATTAAAGAAAAAAAAAATAATTTTCCTAAAAAAAAATCCATTATAATTTGTGCATTATTTTGCAATGTTGTTATTTAACAAAGATTTTTTCATTCAAATTGATACATTTAAACTTTAGCTTGTGACATATAACGAATCATGTATTGATGCATGTGACAAACTGACTATCAAGCCTAATTTGAAGGCGATAAAGAAATAAGGTTTATTATTTTAGTGTGTAATTTACATTAAAAAGGTTAGTAATGATATATATAATGAATATTATTAATCTTTCATTGTAACATTGTACTGTACTACGTAAATTTTATACATTTATTATTTATCTTTTAATCGTTGACCACAAAATTTCCACCATTTATCTTTTTTTTTTGTTTATATAATTAGTCATGTATTAAACTTTTTTTGTTAGTTATTATCTTCCTATTACTTTATATATTATATTTTTTCGACCATTTATTATTGTGATCACGACGATTAATAATTAATTATTCTACAATACATAACATTGGGTGACATATATTATTCAATAATCAAATCAAAATGCAATTACGCCTAAATTCTAAGAAGCGAACATTATTTATGCTAATGCCTATTCTTAATAAAGTCTAGAACAATATTATGATCGCCGCTAAATTATGGTAACGATCTTCACGATTAGTGAAATTTACGATTCTTTGAATGATTTGCAAATAATGATGTCAAGATTAATCTCGTTCTCATTGTTACAATAGATATTTTTAGTAGACTTTTCCATTAACAAACAATTTAAAAAATCGGTTTAAGTATATGCAGTTTTTGTGTTCATGTGTACCCAAATATTTGATATCATGCCTCAGATAATCAACTGCTTCCTTTATATCATCATATTTAGTAATCTTTTTGATTAAATTGTTTCATTTTTTTTTTCATTTTCTTTTAAAAGAATATAAAAAAAATTATAAACTATCGTGCTATCGTTAAGAAAATTCTTTATTTTTTTTAAATATTGAAAAAAAAGTTATAATCATGTCGCGAAATTCTTTAATTTATCTTTTGTTATTTATTTTATTACAATTCCTACTGGTTGAGATAAATTGTGAAGTGAAATTTCCCATATCACAACGATATTTTCATACTACCACATATATTGATAATAAGTTATATATCTTGGGTGGTCGATATACATCTGATGATACTATTAAAACTCTTGGAAGAGAATTTTTTTATCTTGATTTTTCCACCGGATTTAATACTAATTCTTTAACATGGAATACTGTCAATAATTTCGTTCCTCAACATCATGGTGCTGCAACCGTTGTAGGTGGTGCTCAAAATGATACATTATTTTTATATGGAGGAATTACAAATTACGAGAGAATGAGTATGGTTTATTCATTTAACCCGAAAAAATCATGGATGATTCCAACCTTAGAAGGAAATGATGGAAGTGAAGTTAATAGAAAGGCATTTTTGACAGGCATTGCAGATAATGGAAAGATGTATTTATGGGGTGGAACGGAAATGATAACGAGATATTATGTAAACGATATGCTTATTTTAGATATGATAGATCTTACTTGGAGTACTGGAAGTTTGATTAATGCACCAATTCCAAGAAATGAATATGGAGCCACTTTATTACCTAACCATAAAATTATTTATATGGGTAAGTTCGTTGATGATCAAGAATCGTTTCGCGAGGATCGTTTAATATAAAATTATTTACACTATCTCATTCATTATTCTTATTTAGGTGGTAGCAATGGTCAAAATTTGGGTATAGGATTAGATAAGGTAAATTCTTTTGTATTTTATTTTAATAAACATGATATTTAGGTTTACATAAATTTATTTGTATTTTTTAGGTTTATATGTATGATACGATAAATGATAGTTGGGCTACTCAAGTAAGTTGTTAACTGTATATAAAATTTTTTTTTTTTTTATAAAAACTCATCAATTTTTTGTTGTTATTAAATATGTAGGTAACTTCAGGAAATATACCTTCTAGAAGATTTGGTTTTTCTTCTAATCTTGGTAAGTTTTTTTTTCTTAAAATATGAATATGTAAATTAGATTTTATTAATAATAATCTTTCATCTTAATAGCTTTAGATGGGCAAAGATTAATAATTTTTGGAGGATATAATGTTCCTTCTAAGGAAGCAACTTACGTATTAGATTTAACCAATTTTAACTGGTATGTTCCGAATATTAATGGAACTATTCCATCAAGTCGAGCCTATCATAGAGCAGATGTAATTAATAAATATCTGGTTGTAACATTTGGTAAATATAGTAAAATAATATTTATTATTAATGTTTTTTTTTTAGCGAGTTTTAATTTAATAATAAAATATAATTAATTTAATAGGGTCCGGTTATAATAATTCAAAGGAAGATGATGTTTTATTACTTGATATAAGTAATAATGACCAATATGTTTGGACAGGCTATTATGCTATTTCTGATTCAGCTCCATCGCCAATTGATAGTAAAAAATCTCGTAATTACAAATTAATCGGTATAATTGGCGCATCTGTAGTCGGTAGTATGGTATTAATTGCAGGAACTTACTACTTACACAGATGGAATAGAAATAGACGAACGAAAATTGCAGTACATCCTCCTAGCGGTAAACTTGATAATCAAACAGGACAAAAAGTAGTTTTAACAATGGTTAACGATAATGGCAATAATGATCAACAAACCAAACAATAATTACAAAAAAAAGCGATTAAAATATGATCTCTAATAATGTATAAATACATTTTTTATTTCCATTTATATATATATATATATATATAATATATTGTGTATAAATAAATTATATAAATAAATTACAAATTTATATACTGTTACCCTGTAAAAAAAAAAAAATTTTTACCACATAAATATCATTGATATGTCGTTTGAATTTAGATTGGTTTACGATTTCTTCCGATTAATCGTTAATAATTTTCGTGTAACATGCCAAAATGTCTAATTGAATTAAGTTGTAAATATTATCTTTACGTTTTTGGTTATATCAGATGTTGATGAATTTGTAACTTCATACGTTAAATAACCATTTATCAAGCATTATCAAACATGGTATTACAACCGAAGATTTTTACGCCCTGAGCTCAAAAAGGTATCATCAAACTAAATGTAGATACGATTACCCTTATCTTGAGATAGATATAATTTTCTTATAAATTTTGGTTCTCAGAAGGTATTCTTTTAACCAAAGAAATTTTTTTCTTTTTTATTTTAAAAAAAAAAAATTATCACTCAATTTTCAATTTTTATTTTGTTTCATTTTTTTAAAAAAAATAATTGTTTTGTAAAAAAAAAACCATAGCCATGTTAAAGAACACTCTAACTTATTTCGTATTATTATTCAATTTAATTCAATGCTTATTAACTGAAATAAATGGTGTATCACCCATCCTAGCCTTCAAACCAACACTACGACATCTTCATGCCGCTACAGTCATTGACGATAAATTATATATTTTAAGCGGAATGGATGACACTATTGGTGGGATTGTTGGCGGAACCCAATTTTTTTATCTCAACGTATCAGCTCCATTTAATACTAAAATGCCATTATATTGGCATGACCTAACAAGTAAAAATATCGTTCCACCGCAAATCGGTGTCACAGCCGTTAAAGGTGGTGCTGATAATAATACGTTAATTTTGTACGGAGGAAGAAATTTGACAAGCATTGAAAGCAAAGCTTTGGTTTATGCGTATGATACCCAGGGTAACGCGTGGCATATCCCAACAATTTCTGGAGAAAATTATATTAAGAGGAGAAGTTTAACAGCAGTCGTCGATTATCAAGGAAAAGTATATTTATTTGGTGGAAAGTTATTGGAATTTGACTCTTTTGTAAATGATATGATTACTTTAGATACAATAAATTTTCGTTGGGGAAAAGGTAGTTCAACAAACGCACCAACATCAAGAATTAATTATGGTGCAACATTATTACCCAATCAAAACATTATTTATATAGGTAAGACCATTTACCGCGACGCAGTAACTGAGTGTGAAAACATGTGACCGTGTGATTTATTTTTTTTTTTTAATTAAATAGGTGGTGGAAATAGCCTTAATGAAAGTTTACCATTAGATGAGGTAATTATATCATTATTTATTATTTTAATATATACAGGGTTAACTTGATTAATTTATCTTGATAGGTCTTTATATACGATACTAACAATAATAATTGGAGCACAAAAGTAAGTTAATAATCATTATCTTTTATATAAAGACTCACTCACTAATAATATACGATAATTGATTCTTAATTAAAGAAAACTTCAGGGTTAATACCTTCTAATAGATATGGTTTAACTGCTGTTCTTGGTATGTATTAAATTAAAATAAAATTTATAAAATTTTCAAATTTCTCAATTATTAATCATTTTATCCTAATAGGATTGGACGGAGAACAAGTTATAGTTTATGGAGGGTTAGGAAATAAAAATATTATTATCAATCCCGAAGAATCACTTTATACTTTAAATATCAACACTTTTGAATGGAGTATTCCAAAAATTACTGGAAACATTCCAAGCTGTAGATATATGCATAGAGCAAATGTGATTGGAAATTATATGGTCACAACATTTGGTAAATACATTATTGTTGATTTGATTTTTATAAATGATTTGATTTTTATAATTTTTATCCTAAATTTAATAGGAGTCGGTTATAACATAACTGAAGACGATGTTTTATTACTTGATATCAGTGATAAAAATGAATTTAAATGGACAACGACCTTTTATCCG